TCGCATTGTATCCCACTTTGCTTTTTCCTTGAGAGCTATTGATAAAGGGTAAAACGATCTGTTACGCTTATTGAAAGGGATTTCTAAGAACAGTACAGGACGACAAGCGATTACACGAGGCCGACAGGGACTATTGGCAGTCATTAGTTACGATTGGAAATCACGAGAACTAACAAAGATTATCTGGGACTGTCAGGTATGCCAGTTGACAACCGGGAATTACTACGGATTACGAAGAACTACCGGAGTTTCCACGCAAGTAATAGAAGCTATCAGTAATCCCAAGGCACCATCGATATCAACTATTTTTAATGGCACGAATGTCCACCGATCATGACACCCACCTCAGACAGTAGCAGGCTCTAAGACACTCTACCAAATTTCTTCATACAAATGATAAAAATCGAAGTACTTTATGACTCCTTTGTCTGAGTTCCTTTAAAAGTGAATCCAGTGTTGTGGTCAGTAAGCCATGCCTCACAAATAGCATTAGAAACCCTCAAAATAAAAGGAACACAAGGAATCTCAGAACCGCACTGTATTCGTAGCCTAAAGTGAATCTTTGAACTTTCAACCTTGCATTATGAGGTTCTTGTTGACCTCGATGAACCCCGCATACCCATAGAATTTTAGTATAGCGTGAAGCTTCACAATCGCATAAAGCTTTCCAAACCAAAGAAACACCCATCATTGGATGAAATGATGAAAGCTGCGAATCTGTGCTACGTGTAACTGCACCCTTTATAAATTTGAGCAGTCAATTTGTGAATCTCCTAACTAAAATCACAAGAGCCTCAATTCGTGCGCAGGCCAACACCAATACACTCTCGGTCAAAAGATCAACTTCAGCATTAGCACCTTTTAATGGCTTCAGCTGCATTGCTTCGCTGGCTTCCAACATACAAACAAATAGTTGCAGTTTCACAAGTCAGTTTTATACAAAAAAATTTCTTGAATTCGAATATACTATCGGTGTCAGCGACGCGAATCGCTAATGAACCTTCGACTGTGAAAGCATCATTAAAGTATCTCACACTGGAAACGCCATTTTCAACAACCAGCGGGAGTAACAACCTACAGACTCACGCCACTACTAGGAAATACATTAGAATTAAGCCCAGCAGCAAGACTGATTTTTCACAACAGATAATACGACACCTCATCATAGATGCTCATCTTTCCAGAATACCCCTTTCTTCATCTAAAAATCTAGTTCCCAATTTCGAGAAACCGATTGTAGATTGCGATTCCTCGTCGGCGACTTACTTTCGTCAATCTTTATAGAAAATCGTTATTCTCTCGAAAAACCCCTTCCTTAACCTAAAAATCGACTTCGAAATTTTGAGAAACTAATTGCAGATTCGGATTCTCCGACCCCGATTTACTTTCGTCAACCTTTATAGGAAACCGTTATTTTCTCGAAATATCCCTTCTTTAGCCCAAAAATCCACTTCGAAAATTTGAGAAATTAATTCCAGATCCGGATTCCCGGACCCCGATTTACTTTCGTCAACCTTTATAAGAAATCATTATTTTCTCGAAATACCCTTTCTTAGCCGAAAGGTCGAGGTCTCGCAATTGTCGTTACTTCGTTACCCGTGACCTGGTAACATAATGGTAAACGCCCACCACTAATTGTACTTCATTGTAGTTTACCGTACGTCGAGGTACTTTACACTACTTTAATGTACTTTAAAGTACTTTAAAATACTTCAATGTACTTCAATGTACTATAATGTACTTTAATGCACTTCACCGTACTTTACTGTACTTTGCGATAGTTCGTTGTACTTCAGGTACTTTATGTACTTTAAAGTACAAAAGTACGATGTTCTCCCTTGGTTCAGTACCTTCCCCACGATGTTAAGATCAAAACACAATGAAATCGCTTCACACAGATATGAAAATATTTGTTAGACACATTCATTATTAGTAGCCAAGAAGGTAGTGAAGAACATCAAAATGCCTGTAAGATATTCAAAAGGATGATATATCAATTATCACTCTGTACGTCAATACGCATTATCAATGATGTTTCAGAAAATTCAAATTGACACCACCAAATCAGAAAATTGTCAAATAAATTTCTGTCGAAGCAAAATAATATGAACTAATTATTCTCGTAGTATAGAAAAAAAAATATCTATATAAGAGAGTAAAAAAAAAAGTAAATTTCTTGATAGCTGTGTCACCAACATTATACGCTGTCTCACCCTACAAGAAAGATATGAACGTGAAACGATAAAAAAAAGGACAGTATGTTCTATATCCTCTCTAGGTGTATAAGAAAACGTCAAAAGGCAAAATGTCGTAATGGAAGAAAATCGAATAGGCAAACGTTTTTGATGAATTTTTAACAGATGTCTAAATTAGTCTTTTACTTTTTTCTTTTCGATTTTTTATTGTTTTTACATATGCAAAAGAAAATGAAGCTTGAGAATAAAACTAAAATGAATTTGAAGAATAGAGCTAGTGAATTCAAGGGCACTACAGTAGCTTTACTTATAAAAAAATCAATTGTTGCCCTTTTGAAGGATGTGGGTGTGGATGACAAGAAGATCAACACCCCCATCCACACCACATCCACACCCCACCGTTTGATAAAACAATCTTGTGCCCACTTTGACATAATGATTATTTGTTATATTATATTATTGACCTGATGATAAAGAAGATGATGTTTGATGAAGATATTGTTTTTTTTTCATTATTTTCTTTTGTTTTAATTATTTTTTGTTGGTGGTGAAGTATTGAATGACGTGAAGATTGACTATTAGTTGCTGNTTCAAAGAAGATTATAGAAGCTGGTTATCGATTCAATGCACCTTTATCAAAAAGTCTTCTTACTAGAATTCATAAGAAACACCGACTGGAGTGGGCATTATCGATGCAAAATCAAAACTGGGATAAGATTGTTTTTTCGGACAAATGTACTATTCGACTGGGCTCGCACAGTGGGCAACTTTCGCATACCAGGCGGACATGGAATTTTCGTGCTCGGTGATGGGTTTTTATTGCTCAGAAATGATTATATATCACTTAGAAAATCACCTTTAAGAAAATAAATCATTTCTTAAAAAAAAAATTTTTCCCAAAAATTATCCGTAGGGGACCCTTGCTACAATTTTCGAAAAAAATCTTTTGTTATGAAACATAATGTTGCGCACATTAATCGACATAATTTCACGCGCTGATTGCGAATATCGACTTAGTTTTTCGTTAGAAAGTTATTTTGTGGAAAAATAGGGATTTAGAGTCAAAAACCAGGATTTTTGGAAAATCCGTAACTTCGTCGGCGTTCACTATTGCGTTTTGACAGTATAGATAAGGAGAGATTCTACATGGAGGAATATTCACTCAAAGTTTGAGCTGGATTCGATTGAAGCTGTTTGTAACGTTTACAAAATCGAGAAAGCCAATTTGTAGGAACATTTTTAGCATAATAGTCAAAAACGCTTTTTATTACATATGGTTCGATGCAGCTTGATGAGCTGATTCCGAATATCACCTTGATTTTGCACCAAAATGATGCCTTGTTTTCAAAAATAGAAATTTGGGGACAAAAGCCTCAGTTTTTGGGAGACAAATAGCACCGACTGTGCTCATCAGTGCGAAATGGCGCTATGGTCAACGATGAACTAGACGTGGAGGAGCACTTAGTGAAAGTTTGAGATCAATTAGACGAAAATTCTTTTGGGGGTTTACAAAATACGAAAAGACTGGTTTTAAGAACCTTGTTGGGCACAGGTACCGACTTTTTTTTTCGAGAAACATTTGCTGTTATATATGATTCGATGCAGCTTGACGAGCTGATTCCGAATATCACTTTGGTTTTGCATAAAAATACCTCTGCATTCGCAAAACTAACGATTCCGAGGCAGAAGCCTGGTTTTTGAAGAAACCACTAGCACTGTTTCTGTTCACTGGTACGACACGGCGCTATGGCCAACAATAAATCACATATAGGAGAATAATTGGTGAAAGTTTCAGCTCAATCGCATTAAAAACCTTTTGGGGGTTCAAAAAATACGGTATGACCGATTTTTGCACCTACTTTCCGCCCAGTAATCCCTTTTTTTCTACTCCATTTCTTGCTCGATCGAAATAATTTTTGCACACAATGAAGCTTATGGGTCAATCATTCGTTTGAGATAGTTTTTCATTTTAAAATATTTTAATAAATTAATAACAAAAATCTTCTCCATATAATTAACGATTTATGAACAAATTTTTTGACCATGGACTTTTCCAGGGTTTTACTTGATTTCTGGAAATTTAGTTTTAGGGTAAGATAGACTAACCATAGATGTATTCATTCCAATATTTGAACTTTGGAAAATAGAACTTTCGGTCATGTCCGCCTGGTTGCCCACCGTGTTTTGGTGACAACTCAAAATTAAAAGAAACTGATTTGGATGAAATTTGAGATTAAGTGAAATGCGAGCAATTTTGCTAATCATTTATTGTTGCCATTGTGTATCGTCATGAAGTGGCACTTTTTATTCCTATTATTATAATATATTATGTAGGATTGGACTTTTTTAACTATTTAATCTGTAACATAATTCATATAAATAATAATTTCAATTAGATATATAAGAAGCAGAGATGGGCACAGGGCAGGGTAACCCTGTCCTGCACCCTGCCCTGCCCTGGAGCAGGGCAGGGTGGCAAAAACGAATTTTACCCTGCCCTGCAAAAAAGCAGGGCAGGGCAGGGCAGGGTGCCGAGCAGGGTGCAGGGTAAAGATTTTCTACCCTGCAAATATTTTTTTATATCTGCAAGAAACCAGGTTTTTTTTTAATTTTTGCGAGAGATAAAATACTAAACGACATGAGAGAGGGCGGTATCGATTAATAGTTAGAATTTTCCTCTACAAATGCACATAGAATATGGAGGAAGAAAAGAAAAAACACAAATACAACAATCATTATACAGCTTGTAGTTGTATTTATTACTCGTGTACCTTTGTCAGATAAAGCAAAAAACTAATACATGATATGAGTTTCATATCATTTGATTCTTCTGATGATATTTGTTTAATATCCTCTGGTGATCTCGATGTCATATCAAGTTCTTCTTCAATACGTGTTCGAAATGCCTCTAATTCGTCTTCTTCTGATAACTATACTCCTGAACAATTGAAGCAATTCTTATTAAAAAAAAATCAAAAATATCGTCTTGTTAGTAATGATTCAACAAAGTCATTGGCAGCTTGGTGGCGTGCTTTTGGATTTATAAATGTTCAAAATGAAAATAATAAATTTGAACAAATTGCCGGTTATAGTATTATTGTGACATAAATAAAAATAAAACAATGTACCAGAATACAATTTAAAACGTTGCTATTCTTGAACTTGATTAATAAAAATAATCATATAATTATTACATCAAATTTGCAGGGCACCCTGCCCTGCCCTGCTTCATTCTGCTCTGCAGGGCAGGGCAGGGGACGTTTTTTTTCTTGTCCATTTTTGTTAACAGGGCAGGGCAAGGTACAGGGCAGGGCAGGGTACAAAAGAGTTGCCCTGTGCCCATCTCTGGTGGGAAAATTGAACATATGACTTTTGAAAAGTTCAAAACTCAGGTTTTCGATGCCAAAATCCAAATTTTTTTTAAAGAACACATCTCAAATTCTTAATTAGCGCCAAAGACTCTTCCTAATAATGCATTGAGACCTGTCACACTAGAAAAACAGTTTTGAAAAGCTTGATCAGCGAAACGTCATGTTGCGTGGACAAGCCGATAGATTCAGCTTTACATCACACAATCTTCATGCCTGATCAAACTAACCCGCAATCGTTTATTAGCTTTCAAGATTAGATAATACAAAAAGCAGCAAAATGGACAGATAGAGAAATGAGAAGAAGAAAATCAAGGCACAACGAAGTAGTAAATGCGAACAAACAGATCAGACTCCCATCAATTGGACTCCATAGTTCTTTGGATATTTCCATGTTGTTATTTTATTTTTTATAACATTTCTGTCATGAGGCTCTTAAACAAGATGGAAACATTAGCATCATGTTAGTTATGAGTCTATCAGTAAAGAACAACTCACTCCACGCTCCATATCTATCTGGTACGCATACTGGGTGTCATTTAATATGACCACTTGGTCGACTAGGAGTTACACATGTGCCACTATACTTTTTTAGACAAATACAAATACAAATACAACAAACACAGATCAAAATGGCAACAATAATGCCAATGACGATGGCAACAATTTCACCTGAGGATAACGATAATGATGTCGATGGTGATGGTGATTGGTACACTATCCTGTAATTACATCTTTGATTCGGACACGTGTTACAGTAATCTCTGTAGCAACACGAGTACATGGTGTTTGAACTGCTTTCGGAAATAGAGTGTGGGTCTTGAAGTTTCCATGCATATCCAGACGAATAATCACACCCACATAACTTTGCTTACACCATTTCTCCCGGAATTTTCGACTTCCAGGGTTCAGTCAGAGTATTTGGTAAAGAACTATCATTATGTACCGTATAAGAAAAGTCTGAATAGTCAGTTTCTTCTTGGTATTTCGACGATTTTCGTTTGTTTTCGCTGAATCGCACATGTTATCTATGATTTCACTCGTTGAAAAAAATGAAAAGATTACGTTCTCTCTCTCAGTATGCAGACATGAGAATAGAAACATCTGGCGGGAGTGCGTGCATTATTTTGAAGAACGCAGCACGATAGATACTGTTTTTTCGGATTTCTTATGGTAAAAATGAAGTGTACCAAGACAATTATATCAATTGCAATTACGCAGTATGCTTGTTTGCCTCTCTCTCTTCTCTGTTCTTAAAAGACAGGCATATCGAAGCATGTAAGCTCATGCGAAAAATGTTCTTCGTTTTGATGCATGTGCCTATTTGCTTTCTTTTCCATGAAGCTGAATGTCGAAATCTATTTTGTAGAAGGTAATCTGAGCCTACCTATTTTCTTTTGTGTCAATAATTATTGAGCTAATGTCTGACATGAAAGTTTCCATACATCGATCGACTACTTACTCCGTTGGCTTTGTCAAAATTCGTTTCAGCACAATACTCATACTGTAAAGGCGATCTGGCTTCGTAGCAGTGCTTCCTAAAAATATAGGCTCAACAAATTCTTATAAGGTTTTTTTTGCTAAATATAGAACCATCTTTTTTCAGTGAGTCACCATTCAGTATGACTTAGAAACTTCAAAATGTCATATACGGTCATAAGCCGCTTTCTTGTACAGACTGTGGCCTCAGTTATATTTAAGATGGAGTCCACTCGAAACGTAACAAATCAACGATTTGAATGGAGAAATAGTGCTAGGTCTAGATGTAAATAATAAAGAATCTTTAAAATCTTTTCATATATAATTCAGCCGAAATCAACTATGAGGAAACATTACAACCTATTTACAGAAAGCTTCGAAGAAATCCGATTGTTGGCTCTTCCTTCTCAACCTAAGACCACTTTACTGATTTTCAAAACTGTTACAGGATAATGTCTGAAAAATCAAACATGAATTCGACGTGAAATCTACCTCATGAAGATGTATCATGGTTTTTAGAACACATTGAAAGTATTTATACGAACACACTGAAAAAAATCCGTTCCCAAGACCATCCAAAGCCATTCAAAAATCCTTAGAGGTTTCGAGGCTTTGGAAACCGATCGAATTTCCAAAAAGTACTAATTTCAATACTTCGAAAGTGTTTCTGGCAAGTTTTTTGATACTGTTGAAATCCTGTTGATATTTGTCGAAACCCAAAGATATATAAGAAAACCAATATTGTCGAAATATTGATTTAGAATACGAAGTGATTTACGGAAATACGTTTTCGAAACCATTAAAAACTTTCAGGATTTCAATAAGACCCAAAACAATTGTCACAAAAACTCAGAGAACAAAGTCTGATGAAATTTTTCGGGATCGTGGAATCCAACTCGAAGATTTTTAGAAAGAGTTTTGACGATTGGATGCCTTGATTCCGAAAAACTTCGGTTAAACTTTATGAAAAATTATTATTTCCATGAAGAAGGCTTTCCATGACGGAAAAAATTAAACTGAAAATTTTGAGAACCCACTTATAGTATTTTTCTCCAAAGTTACTTTAAGTGCCTGCCATAGAAAATTGCTATTAAGGAATTCATAGAAAAAGTACTTTTAAGCTGTAATACGGCAATGTCAATCTGGATCAATTTTAAAAATAGTTTCATGCATACATATTTGCATGCCGGTGTGGCCTAGTGGTTTATATATTCGTTTTTTAAGTCATCCTTAGGAAACGAAATAAGTAAGGTTCGAAACTAATAATCACTATTACAGTGCAAGCAATAGAAAGTCATAGGAGGAAGTAAGTAATAAAACGTGCTGTCACAGCGTAAGCAATAAAACGCAATATGAGAAAAATACGTTATAAAAATTACTATGACAGTGTAAGTAACAAAAGTATTTTAGAGCGTAAAGAATAAAACGTTCTTTTTTATAATAAGTATACTCATGATCACTAACTTACGTTCAGTTATTAGTACTTTTTCTACTTTACGTAATAGAGCCGAAATTACCTAATAGCAATTTTTCGGATCTCCCTTTTTACATGGGTAATTGAAGGTGTGAGAAGCATCGGAAACTCCTAAAGGATTTTCGATTTAGTTACTGTTTTAAACCCTTCAAGGATTTTGAAGGGTACCTATTTTTAGAGTGTAGGATCGCCAAGTCCTAAGTTCTCTCTATGATATAAATTGGGTAGAAAACTTCACGGCTTTAGATATATATTGAATTGTATGGATATCTATTGCTACGAGTGTTCTTAAATGTGACACACTCAACCTTACTTTATATATTTCTAAGTCTTATTGATAAGTTACTATTAAACTAGAAATCTTTACAAAGAGTTAAGATTTGTTAGTGATTCGTTGGTAAAGCCTACTCCGAAATATGTCGTAGTAATCTCTAAAGAAAAATGTGCCTTTGAAAACCTTGAATGGTTTCAAATAGTTAAAAATTAGAAACCTTAAACTACCCATGTAAAATTTAGGGTTCAGAAAAGGTAATTAGTAAGTACTTTCGATTTCATTAAGTAAAGTAGGAAATAGTGCGAATAAGTGCACGTATTTGAGTGATCATAAGACTAGATATAAGGAAAAAGTATTATTTATTACTTACACTCTAAAACACTTTTTTTCCATTTACGCTATAATAGTACTTTTTAACTCTGACTTTCCCATATGGATTTTTATTGCTTACACTATCATAGTAATTTTGAGTTTCGAACTGAAATCACTGGACCACACCTGTTTACGAATATATTTGCATGAAACTCTTGTATAAATTGGCTCACATTGAGATTGCTAAATTACAGCTTCCAAGTACTTTTTCTGTGAATTGGTTAATAGTAAATTTCTAAGGCAAGCACTTAAAATAACTTTTGGAACAACTACTATAAGTGATTTCTCAAAATTATCAGTTTCATTAACTTCGTTAAGGAAAGTCTTTGTTAGAAAAATAACAATTTATCACAAGTGTTAGACCGAAAATTTTTGGGATCGAGGAATCCAATTATAAAGGCCAGTGCTGCAGATTTTCGAGTTCTATGTTCTTATGACACCTCGCTTGTAGATTTGAATTTCTCAATCTCGAAAATTTTGACCGAACTTTGGCTTCCGATTCTTTGTGAGAATTATGCTGGAGTTTATTCAAGCCCTCCAAAGCTTCAATGGTTTCAAAAACTATTCGGAAATGGAAAAGGTATTTCCGGACATCTCTTTGGATTCTAAATCAATTTTTTCGGCAAATATTAATAGATTTTCGATACTACCATAAAAGTTTCTAACTATACTTTCAGAATATTCAAATCAGTATTTTCGATGACAGTGAATCTATTCTGCTGGAAATGATAAATTCAAACATGAGTGAGCAACCGTTCAGCTGTCTCTTTCGTACGTGTGAAAGTCCCTTTAAATACCCATTTTATTTCCCAAAAAGTGGATGAAGAAGGTGTGCTTGTGATGTGGGTCTTTTCTTCAGGCAAATCGATGTTCATACTTACACCCATACTCAAACCCATCTACGCCCTCTCACCTTTTCAAAACATGTTTCGAAATCATTACAACCAAAACAATCATGAGGAGAGAAGTACGACTTTTTTACGGAATCGTCTACTTCTATGATTTCACGCTTGAAACATGTAAGCAAAACTTAAGGCAAGATTTGTTGAACTAAGAGAAGGTGAGAACACATAATACTATCAGGCACATACCTATTTTTGATAAAACGGAACTCGAAACTATTGATTTTTTGACCTCACAAAGTATTTCAGATATACGTTGTACTCGTTAGATATTCATCCTTGGGGCAAGTATCGCAGTATTCCTGTCACCATTGTGAATTTTTCATAGTAAAAAACATATCCAGAGAAAATTTGATGTTTTAAAAAATTCTTCTCGTTGTTCCTTTATAATTAGTAGTACGTAAATCGTGTAAAAATACATTCGTGTTTATTCGAAACTCAATCCTTTGTTCTCATCCTCATGTTATCGCCATTCTCATCAGCTGATGATAATAATGACTCATACATCATTGATTTGTTGTATAATTGGTGCAAAGAAAATGAAATAGAAAAAGTTCGAAGTCTTTTACCATTTATTGGTAATATAAATATTATAAATAAAATTCAAAATTCAACTGGTTCAACATGTTTACATGTGGCGTGCTATTATGGACATCGAGATATGGTACAAATTTTATTAGAATATGGAGCTCTACATTCCATAAGAAACTTACGACACAATTTAACATCTTACGAAGAAGCTCCAACAGATGATATAAAACAATTGTTTTTAGAACATCGAAAAATATTTTCACATGATGACTATGATTATATTGAATGGTCAGTAGTAGGCGACGATCTTCTTGGAAAACGACGTGAATTTCGTGAAGCTATTGATTTATACAAAACCTATGATAATCATCATTTAGTATCAAAATTATTAGCTGAAGTTATTCATTATTATTTAAATGAATATTTGGTAAATCAAAGTAATGATATTGGCAATCGGGAAGATCAAATAACTCGTAAACAAATTGAAACTATTGAAGCATATTTTAAAGAAGCTATAGAAAAACAAGATTATTTAACATATTTTATCAAAGCCTATACATTAACAATTTTTTTTTATCAAGTATTAAATAAAAATTTAGCTCTATATATATTAGAATATTTTGATGAAACAAAAACGTTTTCATCAAATTATCGTCTTGTAAATTGTCTTGTTCACATTGTTAGACTCTTAATTTATCATCCAAATTTGCCTCAATATCGATATCAAGGTGTATGTTATCGTGGTATGAGAGTAACACAACATGATTTAGATCAATATCAATTAAATCAACATATACTAAATCGTGCATTTTTATCAACATCTACTGATCGTGAAGTAGCTGCAATGTTTGCTGGTGAAGGTCAACAATCTCAAATGAGATATACTCCTAAAAATCATTGTGCATTACAATATTCATGTTTATGTCAATATTTAATAAAACAAAATTCAACAGCTATGCATATACAAAGTTTATCAATGAGACAGGATGAAAAAGAAGTTTTAATTGTTCCATTCACTGTTTTCAAAGTTATGGCAATTAAACGAAATTATCTTGATAATTTAACAGCATCAATTTCAATTTCAATTGACGATAAAAAAGAAACAGAAAGTATGCTTAGTATGCTCTCTCTTGAATGTTTTAAAGAAAATTTCTTCTTTCGACTGTATTTCTCAAATTTTCAGGTGATAAAGAATCGAGATCATCATCATTGTCATCATCTGACAATGATATCAAAGATACGGAAGACTATGTCAAATTTAAACAGCGAACATATATTTTATATGGAATCATTGGATTTTTTATATTAGCTATTATTTTGGTGTTAACTTTTACATTCATTTTTATTTTTGTTGTTAAAAGAAATTCCACAAAGAATACCTTAAATAATGCAATGACTTTATCAGAAACAAATGATACTATCGACTACGAATCACCACCAGGTAGAAATAACACAACAAAACGACTTAAAATGTGAAACATCTTCCCAGCTTCTTTGATTTTATGGGTCTCATATTCTAGTTTTTGCATTTCTGGGAACTCAGCAAATTAAACAACAAGGAGCCCACTACCATTAGTTTAAGGATTTTTGAGAAACCAGAAATACACAGGAAACGCAATCAGAGGAAATTGCAAACATCTTCAATTGTATGCATTACATATGTATTTATAGTCTGTATAAAATCCATAGAGTGGTGCATTTCTTCTTAGGCAGCAGATGACTGGTTCCAGGTTTTCACAAATTCGGAAACTCACTGTCAAATATACCATAGATGGTTAGGTGAAAAATTCAATGACTAGATTTCTCATCAAGGCGAAAAAAATGTTTTTGTTCTTCGGAAAGAAAAACCTGAATTCCAATTCAAAACAGTTAGCGCAATCCCTGCAGGATTAAAATATGAAAAACAATGTAACTACTCTTGATAATAATAGGAAGATCGCTTTATTCTATCTCTTTTGTGGCACATTTCTAAACCATCCTTTTACGTATTCCTCCAAAAGTGGAATATGGAAGTAGTTCATATATTATAATAAGACGCTATTGATGTGCGATCTTTGATCGTATATCAACAACGTCTTGTACAGTCAGTGGTAAGGTGGTAGGGTAACCCGTCACGATCTATGAACAGGAGGGGGACGATTCACTTTTCTCCCAATTTCTTCAACACTTTTTTCATTAATTATTCATTAATAATTTATTAAGGGTTCATTAATGAGTTACTTAAAAAGAATATCTATCACAGTCTGTGACGGGGAAAGTTAAACTATTCTTTACTAAACTAGTACAAAATAGATATTTTTTATACGAATTTTTTGTAGGCTGCCCCAATATATCAAATCGATCTAGCTGGAATGCACGTCCGCATCTAGGTCGTGAGAATTTAACAACATTCCCGGTCACATATATTGTTATTAAACATGTAACTGATTTGAAACCTGTTATGAATCAACAAGATTGTATTAAAGAAATAAGAGATCTTCAAGGTTTTCAAATTGATAAACAAGGTTGGGCTGACATTGGTTATAATTTTCTTATATGTAATGATAATAATGGTGAACAACAAATTTATCGAGGTAGAGGATGGTTGTATCGTGGTGCACACTGTATCGATTATAATTACATGTCTTTGGGTAAGAATGAATTCTGCTCTTAACTTTCTAGAACAACGCGCCATAGGTTACTGACAATTCAACCTTGGTCTTGTGTTTGTCTTCCTAAAAATAGTTAATAAATCCGATGAATTTTGATGTTTAATTAGAGTTGATAAGACATTTACTAGGAAATCTCAAAAGAACTTGGGAGATCCTACTAAACCAGAGAGAGATAAAAACACAAACAAAACAGAATATCACACTTTTTTTCAACAAATTCATTCTATTTTTGACTGAAACTTTCAACGTACAAAGAATAACAAGACGTGTATCTGTTGTATAAAGTTGAGACCAAACGACTCTAGTGTAGAAATGTAATAAAAATCATCGATGTATCGTTTATTCTTGACTAGGAAATAAACATGTTATTTGTTCATAACTCGCAAAAGGCTTATAGCTCTTTGTTGAAATCAGTTGTGATGCTTCAGAACAGAGTTTATCAATGCTTCTTCTGTGAATATGAGCTATGAACACGCCTCTATCAGCGATCAAAATATTGCGAAAATATTTAACAACGTCTTTGGCCATGGACTTTCTGAACATCCTTTATAATCTATAATCTCCCCTTTTTCTGTAGCAAAATATCTTTACGTTCAGGACTTCTTGTTAAAGTGGACATAAAGAAATCGAAGCTTTAATGTCGCTAAAACCAGTTCCCATGAAAATATGTAAAAGTATGACTTCTATAACATATCGTAAAATGAGCAAAACCTGCAAATATTCATTGAATGTATTTCCTAATCATCGATAATAGGTGACATCGACTGGTTCATAAGTGTTCTGTTGGTTCCCAAGTTAGAGTATCTTAAGATTTCAAATCATGTTTATTTGTTTTTTAAAAGGTATTGGTACTATCGGCAATTATACTAGTATAGAATCTCTAAACACATTTAAATCACTAATTCAATGTGGTATTAAAAAGGATGTTATTGTAAAAAATTTTACATTGGCTGGACATTTATCTTCAAGAGATATTTACGAATATTACTTGACATACTTCAAGAATGATGCCGAACTTCAATATAGCAATCAAGCCAGCAGCACACAGGTTTTTTGTCAATGATCTAGTACTATCGGTTTTTTTGTTTTTCCAATTCAAATGGCTACCTTTTCATCTGTAAACGAAAAAAACATTGTAAATAATTGCAGAAAATTTAATCAAGCACATTCGAAAGCACTTCTTAACCATATTTTATTTATGGCTATATCATGATAACTCACAAATACATCAACAAAGAATACTTCAGATAATTCGTTAAGACGCAATGGTAACGTTCATCGCTTGTTGCATTCGACAAACGGTGCATGCTTTTGATATCATAAAAGGTGTAATTGCCTAAAGGAATAAAAAAGAAAGAAAGTATGATGACGAAGTTGTAGCAATGAGTAGGAGAAAATCAATAGCACGCTCGTCTTAGCTAGATATATTATTAATTGGTTTTGGTACGGGTGCATTATAGCTATCATGATACCAGGTAGGGTGTGGTTGTGAGCGGATGTTGGTGTAGATGTTGGTGCAAGTGCAGCTATGGTGAAGAAAACACCCATACCTTTCACTCACATCCTAAATGTTGGTAGTTCACTCAATATTATGATGACATGTAAGAAATATCACCAAAAGACATGTTTTACACATACGGCAAAACGGCATGAAGGGCTTACATGTGAACAATAAAATGCTCGAGCCAATGAAGATCTTGAATCGACTCGTCGATAGTTTGTTACAAATTCGAAAAAATAGCCCAATTATCTATTGAATATCGGAAAGAGTTCTGAATCTGATCATATGACATGTATCAAATGTCGGTAGGAATTTTGTTCGTCTTGATTGACCGATTATAGTAAAATAAGACGAGATGGAAATCATTGACATGGTCCAAGCTGTAAACACTACGCTTATTAGTGTCATTCGAGCCGAAAGATACAATACCCTTTGATGAACACTTATGTTGAGCTTTAAAAACTATTAATGCCTAATCATTACTTGAGATTGACTGTCTTGAAACGACTTATCATAGGAATCTGTTGTATGTACAGCTTCATGCTGTTACTTCGAATACTTTCTTCATGGCTACATCTTGCCGGAGTGAGTCAAAGAGGTTGACGTCAAGAAATACTAGGACCAATTTTGTTATAGAAAAAACTTTTTTTCTTAAACAAGCTGTGAGTACAATATTTATGATATTTTTAAAATGAAAACACAATTTAGTTTCATTTATTCATATTTTTGGATCAGATGTTGAGCACAACATAAACAAAAAAAACAATATTAGTTTTTATACTTTCATACTTTCATTTCAATCAGCTATTGGATTGATTCTAAATAAAGATAATAATAATTTTTATTTCTAATAACTATGTATTCGCATTCTGATCAGCTGTTAGATCAAATTTTATTAACAAAATAATTCAGTTCAACCTTTTGAGTATCAGTTATGACGTTTAATCACAACACATGATTACATATTGTTGGGCTGCATGTCGGAAGAAAAGTTGAAATATTAAGCTACAATCAAATCAAAATAATTTACATTGATGAGTAGTTTTCTTAAAAAGCCAAAGAATTATTCTACAGCCTTTATCAAGCAGAATAGATATGTAGTAAAAGGACCATAAAATGTGTACTACATGATACGTATGTGTGGTGCATCTTACAGCATACATCTTTAGTGGAAAAATAAATACAGGATGAATAGACCCATCAATATATTAGTCAAATAATGAAAAAATAGTGTGAACCTCTGTTTTATGTACTCAATATTAATACATGTTAGTTACAATAGCTATACGTATTTCGAAAGAGTAAGTCTAATAAATCTTTTTTTATGACCAATGATAAAATTTTGGTATTATGGATACGTTCACGATTATTTCTTTTTAAGAAACCATGGTTACTAAATATAACTGAGGGTGTGGGTGTGGCCCATGTGAAAATTTTTGCCTTTGTAAGCTATCTGCAAGCAGCTTAATAAGGCTTATGCTTCTATAAGCTGCTGTAAAGCGCTTAAATATTCTCGTCTTAAGCTGCTAAAAGCTGCTTCACTCAAATAAGCTGCTTATTTTAGCTTAGAAAACGGTTTCACTAAGCGCTTTCTAGCACTTACCATAAAAATCGCTGAAAAGTGCTTTAAATTTTGTTATTTCTAAGCACTGTACAGCACTTACACGGATAATCGCTGAAAAGTGCTGTGTCTTTTCTTGTATTTAAGCATTTCTCAGGACTTACAGTAAAAAGCACTACTCAGTCAGACAAGACTCTTGAAAAAACACGTAAAAAGGTGACGGTGTGATTAGGAGTGGATATGGATGTGGGTGTATGTATATGAGTTGATATGGGTGGGTTAAGAGCGAGAGAACACCCACACTCACATCCTAAATAGACTCGTTATAGAGATGAATGTTATGAGTACTATGTATTAGAGTATATTTTAATATTAAGAAAGAAAGAAAGAAAGAAATAGTTGCGTAACAAATAGAGCAAATGCAAATGAATTAGACCGAGTTTAACCTAATTGAAAAAAATCCTTGACTAAGTTTGAAAAGCTATAAATGAATTTATGTTGAGATAACAACTCAGTTAAATTTTTTCCCTACAGAGATTCGCCATACGCTGCCTTTTTTTACTATTAACAACACTTTTAATGATCCATAGTTACCCAGGTGAAAGAAAACGGTTCGTAAACGGCCTGAAACGGCATAAAAACGATGTAAAACGTTAAAAAACGGCGCCGTTTTCCGTCAGCTCGGAAAACAAAGAGAATAGTGTTAAAAGCGATGGCCGTTTTCTAGCAAAAAAAAAACGGTCCGTAAAACGAGCTGACGGATTGCGGCGAAATAGGGTGAAAATTAATGGCGTTTTATGCCGTTTAATAGTCGTTTCAGGCCGTTTCTGATGGCCTTTCAGACGGCCGGAATGATCCTCCTGGGTAGTATTATTTTTATAATGTGTTCAATTTATTCAAAGAGTTTAGATTTGAAAAGAATGAAATAGCTCCTGTATTTTATTGCCTCCACAGTACTTGACTCAATTTGTCTTTAGTTATTGAGTTTTTGCATATGCCATCAAAAAATGTTCGTTACTCTGTTCCAAATAACAGCTCGAATATGTATAACATTCGTTCAACGAATAATGATGCACTTTAACAATATTAGCTTCTTTCGTTCTCTTCAAATATAATTTGCGAGTAACACAGATAATAGCCACGGTCTTTCATTTTTGTTGTCTCCTTTTTTTTTGTCTATACATAATTTTCTATCTCCTGCTCCTGCAACAATCAAACTAGTGTATCGTGAAAACATGTATCTTTGCCTATTTCTTTGATGCCCCTTATATATCTAATTGATGAACTTATAATATCACAATAAAGTTGAGTCGAACGCAAACAAAAAATTATAGATTATTTTAGTCAGATAATTATTTCACAAAAATATTAATTTTTTTGCTTATTAATTAAAAGATTCTTTTGGATAAATCTTAGACGCTCTTTTACAATCTCCAAAATTACTGATAGATGGCGCTCATAGAGATAAATAATATATATGCACATGTTTTGCAGAGATGTTGAGTTTCATCAAAAAAAATTAACATTATTATTAGAAATAAAAACAATAACTTATAGAAAATTTGGTACTTTTACACTTTAGGACCCCAAAGTTTCTAATTGTAACCAACTNTCTAAATCAAACGTCAAAATCTAAATTTCATCGAGCTGGCAGATCATTTTCATGGGTTCTTTTGCATGCTTTTCGAATATGATTAGTTTTAAAAGGTTTTCGTCTTATACATTATCAGGGAAAAAGGCGTCCCAACTCCTCCTCTTTCGATTGACGAAAACCGCAGGTCGCTAGCTATTGCGGTTGTCGAGTTATTGAGCTTATACCCACCCCTATTTAATTCTGGCGCCGACAATAATATCAATTATTCATATCTAAAAGAAATAATGAAAAAAAAAAGCAGAAAAATTTAACGATTTATGTATAAAACATTTGAATTAAGAATCCTGTCTACAGATCTAACACTATGAATGAAGAATATGTTACTTATACCAATAAACTCTAACTTTTTTTTCATGAATGACAAATCACAATTGAACTCTTGCTAAAAGCTTTTTCTGTTAATGATAAAAGCAGTTCGGTCACAGTCAAACATTTTCACTCAACAAAGGATTCTATTAAACACTTTTCCAATAACAACATTCCGAGCTGTTTACATATAATTAAAAATCAAAGGAAAGAAGTATCATTCATAGTAGAAAAAACAGCAATAAAGTATTTCGAAATTTTTAGAGTACAACGAATGCATTGTGACTTTTTATACGATAAAAAAACGTATGAATACTTTTTTGATGAATATCAACCATGACAACAATTATAAATACATGTCGATGTGCGACTAAGTATCATTATATAGGTTATAGAAGCAGACAGGTTTTGAAGTGTTCCTTTCAAACAATTCAAATATGTTTTAGTTGTTTTAAAGGATTTGTTTATCTCAAGTTCAATCAAAATGTACTTTCATCCGATAAGTTTTTTTCATCCCAGTGTTATTATTCAAATAATAACGATCACTTTGTTTTTTGATATTAATCTGTATTGAATGAAAATAAATATTTAATTCGACAAAGCAGAACTAGATAAACGTCTCTCTCAAACTATTGTTGTGATCACCTTTATTCTTTTTTCTGATTGACATATTTATATTGTTGATTTATTATAAACAAAAGCTACCTTGTTGGCAATAAATATGCATTGAAGCGAAACATTGATGTCATCACATGATACGATAGATCGGATGCAGCCAAGTATTATAGTATGTTGGTAAGAAAAAAAGAAGGGCAAATCGACGTGTTAGTATTTTTTCGTTAAACCACTGTAGAATATTTCAAGGTGATATGAAATTGGAACATTATTACGATAGGATAAGTTTTAATTTTTTTTTTTGTTCTATTTATTAATAAAAATTTTAAACCAGGATATTTTTGGATAAATGATTAATTGTTGTTTTATCAGTTTACTGTAAAGAGAAAGTTTTGTTGACGTTGAGTTTTTTTTTTCATTAAAATTTTTATACTAAATTATTGATCATCTGTTTAATAATATATATGTTTGATTATGTAGACAATAAGATTAAACAAATGATGTTGATTAATATACATGTGTCTAATAATATTAATGACTTTTTGTATCTCTTTCTTTCTTTCTTTCTTTCTTTTTCTAATTTAGAGATCGTGCTTATTCATCTTTCATTTTCTGGATGTTATTCTCCGTCTTTTCGTTTAATAACGACAATGAATTTTATGCACTTAAAAAGTACCACATCCTTTTTATTTGTAGGGTCTTATTCTTATTTATTATCTGATTGGCAGTTGTTAGAGCAATGAGCAGAATAAGGAAAACCAAAGATAGTCACACACATAATGTCATGTTTGTATGTGATTGTAATTGCGCGTTTTCTTGTTGATAATACATGTGTATCATTCTTAGTCTTAATCAATACCAAGAAAAAGACAAGAATAATCTTCCAATTAAATATTTTTTACGATGAAATAAGTCTATATTCATTCAAATAATTCATTATTGATGAACAATCAATACGATGTTTACTATTTATTTTTTAATAATAAGTCTTAGTAAATAAAAAAAAACAGAATACAGTTTGATACAGATAATTAGGTTTTTTAACATAAGCTCTTGTGTTTTTTTCTCTTTTTTGATATAAATGAGCAATCATTCTGAATTTATTCTTTTCGATTAGTTTTCTTGTGCAAAAAAAAAAGAAAGATGATGCGATTTTTTTTTGTTATTAGTATCGCTTCGCATGAATAGACGATTAGTTCTTGTACTCGTTACATTCACCTTTTTGTTGTTATTGTCTATATATTTGATTTCACTGCAATTAACAGATTAGTTCTTGTATGTTTCCGTATAATGAGTATATTCGATTTTATTAAAAGAAAAACGAAGAAAACCTTGGATATATATTTTTTGTATTTTCATTTGTAAATTAAATATAAGTTTGCAAGCGTTTAAAATGAAATCTGAATGCATATGTAAGGTAAATCATGTTTCTTGTTTATTAGATATTATTCAATGATTGGCGATCACAATTGTCTATCATTCACATGTATACTTCCTACTGATGATTAACAATATTGTCATCAACAACCGTCGTCAAACCTTTTTCTTCGCATAAACATTTTTTTTTACAAAATACAAGCTATTTAAATGTAAGTTTATCATGTTTTTATATTGCTAATCAAATTTACAAGCAAATCTATTTATTCTAATTAGTTTCTATTACCAAAGAAAAAAAATCATCAACGATGGCAAAGTCACCAAAAAAATTATCATGGATTGAGATGTTAAATGAATCAACGGGAAGAGATATAAAAAAAGAAGCAACTCAGAATAATTTTAATGAAACACAATATGCACCAATGGATAATTCTGATATGGATTATAATGTTCATCGTTCTTCACTTCGAATTTCATCTATCAACAAATCAAAGAAAACAAATAATAAACAACAACAAAATACATTGCCTAAATGTAAGTAAATATGACTTTTCGAATGTTTATTCAGATTAAAAACAGCTAATAATGATCATTTGTAATACCATTTTCTTTTTATTTATTGTTGTTCTATAATTCTTTCGCCTTTCGCACGTTTCCTTGCGTTACTTACATCTCTTGTCATCTTACTTGTCTTTAATACTTAGCCATACGAGATAAAGAGCAAAGAACATGATGACTTGGCTCATACTCTAATACGCAGACTTTTAGCGGGTACAAGTCAGTAAGAAAAATCAGAGAATAAGCTGCCAAACAGACACATTTCTTTTTCTTCTTTTCTTTTTCCTTTATATTTCTTTTATCGTTGGCGTCACCGTCCTTCGTCGCAATTCATAATACAAAACTATGTTACTTGCATGCACGCTCATGCAGTCCGCTTTTTTTTGTTTCGTCTTTCTGGCATATAGTCTCGTTAACAGTAACACCAGATTTTTTCGAACTATTGTCTCTATTTACTTTTTTTTTTTATTGATTTAGTACGTTTTTCATCAATAAATATGCAGACTATTCAGTGGCTAAAGTAGAAAATAAACGGTGCTCGTTTATTTAATTTTACTCAAGGTTATCTAATTATTTATATGAATATGTGAGAAGAGAAAGTAGAATAATTTTTTAAATTTGAGTAAAGAATTTTCTTTTCATTGAACATTTTGAATTTGTTCGTTAATTTAAAAAGAAAACATCTTTAACTAAAAAGACAGACAGCAATTATTAATAGTAAGCGCTCTACATAATTGCAAAAACAAAATAAGAGCATAATGCCGAATAGAAAAAAAGCAGTCAACGTCATCAACAAGTAGAAATGCTATACTGTTGTTGTGTGTCTTTGTCTTTCTTTTTTTTTTCTCTTTCGCAGTCTTTTTTCTTCTCTTTACTAAGATGGCTCGATACAGAAGCATAAATAAACATTGTGAATTGCTATAATCTTAGATTGTACCTTGGTTTTTATTTTTCTTTGAAATTTATTTAAAAAATAAATTTACAAAAATAAGACACACTAAAAACAACATCATTATCATCATCAAATATGTCTTCAACTATTAAACAACAACCATTTAGTCCAGTAGCTTATAATTCATTTTCAAATGATTTTCATAATCACAATCATCATCGATCCTCAACAACGCCATGCGACAATGAAAAATTATCATCAACATCAAATAATATTGCAGAAAGTTCTTCAACATCTACATTAGTATCAGCATCGACAACAGCTAGGACAGGAGGAGGTTGGTATGAAAAAAAGACAAAAAGAAATATTCAAGTTTTGGAATTTTACGTATATTTATTAATAGCTATAGAATTATTTATTTACTTGAAAGATAATATATAGATATGTCTTCTTTTTATGTACTGCAGATAAGACATCGATTAGCAATATTCTTTCCTTTAAGGCAATTGTTTTAGTTAATAGAATTTGTTTATATTCCATTTCAATCAAGAAAACTATTTATTTATTGTTAAAATTTTGTTTTTGCCATATTTCAGGTCCAAAATCTCCAGAAGATAGACGCCGTTGTGTATGTATTTATTAAAACCTCTTTTATATAACTACATATATACTATTTTTCTTCTCTTTAGGCTGTATGCAGTGATGTTGCTTCTGGTTACCATTATGGTGTATGGAGTTGTGAAGGTAAATATGTTAAGATAGATTTTCTTCTTAAACATTTATAAATAATTTATAGGATGCAAAGCATTCTTTAAACGAAGTATCCAAGGTACAAATGAATATATTTGTCCAGCAACAAATACATGTACTATTGATAAACATCGTCGTAAAAGTTGTCAAGCATGTCGTTTAAGACGATGTTATGAAGTTGGTATGACAAAAGGTACAACACGACGAGAAGGAAAATATCGAAGAAAAGCTGTATCAGTTTGTAAAATAACATCAACTTCAAATGCAGCAGCAAATAATACAAATGTTAATAATCAAGAACATGCAGCATCAGCTTCAACAACAAATACACGAACAGCAACTGGAACATCTTCAGGATCTCAACCTATTCATAATAGTAATGCTTTATCATCACCACAACCACAAATTAACAAAGTATAATATAGCATATCCCTTGATTTCTTCATTTCGACAGAAAAAAAGATGCATTGTTTCTTTCTTTATTCAGACAACATCAGACTCTACACGTATTCCAATCCCAACTGCTGAATTTCTTTCAATTCTATCTCAAGCATCTCGTCTTAATTTACTAGCTAAAGTCGATACAAATCGTCCATTAGATGATCAATATTTTCTTCAATTACTTGCAAAAGTTTTCGATCAAGAATTAGTTGTTCTTATTAATTGGGCAAAATCTATGCCAGGTAGCATATTTTTGTTTTTCAATGAAATCCTGTTTTTTTTTTTCTATGAATAATATTTTTCATTAGGCTATACAGAAAGTTTAACACTTGACCAACAAGTAACAATAATCGAACAAAGTTGGTTAGATACATTAATTCTCGATATAATCGAACGATCATTAGAACGTAATGATGATGTACTTCAATTTGCACCTGATTTTATAATCCCACGGTAAAGAAAAAAAAAGCAATGTAATCGACAATCATTAATAGATTTATTTTATTTAGAAATCGTCATTTATCAAGTCCTGTTCTGAATTTAATATGTATACATTTATTTAATATACTTCAAGTATTTAAAGATCCACATACAACACATGAAGAATTCATTGCACTTAAAGCTACAATACTTATTAATTCAATTTCAACAACCATAGCATCAACAAAAGCTTTTCGTTTATTAACAAATCAAATTTATCAAGCACTACAACATACATGTGATGCTAACCCTAGTATCTATCATGATAATTATATTCGTCATACGACACTTTTATTACAAATACCACATATTAAAATGTTAAGCTCAAAATTAATAAGACTGTTTTTACATATGCGTAGTAATGAGTTATTACCACAAGCTGATCTGTTGTTAGAAATGCTTGACGCACAAGATACAATGGATATATCATTTAATATGAATGTAAATAATCTCTCATCACATACAGAAAATTGTGCTCCAAATTCCTTAATAAATAATAATATATCATCAACATCATTTGAAATTGATAATTCATCCATATATTCAAATCAATATCCAAATATGTTAACAATAGATATAGATAAAGATAATATGCTTCATTTACCTGGAAAACGTTCGCCCTCAACACCACCTCCTTCATTTTATAAACCAATATCAGACAAATCCACAACAGCAAACGAACATTTTTTTTAAAGGATATTTATTGAAAATATGTAACTGCTCAATTCGATATCGTTCTTATAAATATTTCATTCTATTGTTTCGTTTTGCTCATATTGACATATTCATCTCAAAATGCTCAGCTGAATTTTCAAATAGGACAATTATTTATTTCTCAGCATTTCTCATTCTATTTGAGATAATAAAATTATTGTCTCTATTTATTACAACCCGGTTTAACACCATCTCGGTGTTTTCTTTTTTCTTTTTTGTTTATTTCTTCAAAATTACACCTTGTTTGTTTTTCTTCCTATTTTTGTTTGTTTGTTTGTGATCATATAAAAACGTGCGTATTGTACGTTGAGCAGACAGCTCAATTCGTTTCATTTAAAAAAAGAACAATACATAATAAATTTTATTCAACAAAAGAATTCTTATATAATTTAAGAGAATCACAAGAATAATTATTTCTTTTTCTTGAAAAAAAAAGTAAAATATCAAATCATAGGTAGTTACTTATTACCAGTGATGGATCTAGGGTTTTTGTGATATGGGCCACTCCATTGGGGATCTAGGACGATCATGATCATTCGAAGTGTTTTGAAGCTCACTCGAAGGTAGTATCAGCTCATTTTTTAGTCTTTTCTGCTGAGAAAAACCGAATATTTTTTTTTCTGCCATACGGACGATCGTCATCAGCGTCAACCCCCTAAATCCGCCATTGCTTATTACACATATACATATATATATATACATGATTATTAGAAAAGAAAGAAATCTATAAGTATTGTTTGTTAGTGAATGGCATGAAATGAGAAGAAGGTTATTTTTAAACCTTATCGTAAAAGAAAATCATGGAAAAAGTATTATTGTTTTCATCATGTTCATAAAGTAATAATTAGAATGAAGCAAATGATTTATTTGTGTTAGGTCTAGGTTGTGAAGACATTAAAGAGAAACAAAATTTTTCACTTTCTAAAGAAAAAGCTACAATGAAACAGATGATTATATATTGAATAATAAGACTTATAAAATATGTTAAATGCATTAACTGAGTAAATTCGACAACATAATTGTTAAATAAACAACTTGAGATGAAGGTTATCTTTATTGAATGGATTACAATCGAAAAAGCAAAAAAGAAAAGAATTGTTCTTTTTTAGAAACGCCCAAATATCTGCAATAATAAATGACAGTGAACTTTTGAAAGAAGAAAACTATAAAAATAAGCCTTGAGTTCTGAAATGTACTTTTATGCTTCATATTCACAGTTTCAAGACATTGTTATAATTATTTAATCATAAATGTGTGCATGGATTTGATCTTGTTGATTTAATAAAAAATTTATATATAACATGATGATTATTTCCCTTGAGATTTTCGTGCCCGTTTAGAACTTGATGTGACGAAAAATAAATAAAAAAAAAGAACGATAAACAAATGAGAAAACATAATAAAACGGATTTAAGTAATAATCAAAAGAAAAATCTTTGATTAATAGAAAATTAAATAGCACGATTTTCATATTTATTAAATAGAAAATAAAAAATTAAATATAAAATATATCTTAATCAAATTCTAATAAGGTTAAAATGATGGATATCGACCAACATTCGCAAGTAACTACCATATATAAATAATTTGCTGTGTAGATGATCTTATTTCTATTCATTTACTGATAGTTGAGAAAGAATAGATTCAATAATTGATAAATGAGAAGTAGTCTGTAATAAACGAAAAACAAAAGGTTTCATTTTTTAAGATTAAAATCTCATAAGAATTAAGATAATATTCTCTCAATGTAAAATAATTAGTTCTATCATAATTAAATATCTGTATGTAAAAATTAATATTATTTTCAAATAATATATCTGAAAAACAATAATTTATTTTTACATGTTACTATCACTAAAAACTATGATTAATAGCTGATCAATTAATGGTTTGGACAGACAAAATGTCGTCCGCATGCAAATTCTTTTTTTTTGTCTTCTATTAGACTTGATCAGATCAATTTCTTTTAGTATGGAAAAATAGATGATATTGTCGATATTGTATTCATATGTGGTTCAAAGAATAATCATATATTGTTCTTTTGTAATAATAAAAAACATTCGAAGCTAAAAAAAAAACTTTCAGTGCTCAAATAAAAGAATCAGAAAAACTCGAATTGCTATTTTTTTCTTTCATTATATGCTCACTTCTTATTGTTTTGCAATAAAAAGAAAAAGTAAAAATGCATTTCTCTAAGCTTTGAGTTAGAAAAGTAATTGTTGTTTTATCTGAAGATGCAAATTTTCATCTACTATAAAATGAGTCTCTTTTAGCGATTTGTATCGTTTTAGTCGCAGATAACAGAGTTCAGATGTACTCGCTCAAAAGAAGATCACATCTAGTTGTTGTCGCTACTGTAGGATTTTGTTTCAGAATATGAGTCTTTATCTCAGCAACTGACGCTTTGTTGTATTTTTTTTTTGGTGTCTCGTTTGGATTAGACCCGTAAAACTAATATGACAATATCAATCAATTCCTTCCCAATGTAGTGATGAGCTGTTGGTAACTTTTAGACATCGAGTAATATGAATACATTCTAAAGACGATTAAAACAGATCTTGATCTAAACATAGCACTTGAAACTGGAGAAAATTCAGAATCTCTCGAGTTTCGAATAAAGTTTTAACAGTTAATTAGATTAGCTAAATGACGAAGGTTGCAACGTAATGCCATTTTCTCTGCCGAATATATTTTATTCTTGAAAGATTTCTTTATTATAATAACTAAATAGTTTGTCTTTTTCTCTCTAGTCTAAAATTTTATTTAATAAAGAATTTCACGTTCTTCATACATTCTGTTCTAATATTCATTCTTTGATTACTGATAAATAAGAACAACAGTATACATACATCTGTTTGGAGAAAAGACATACAAAAGCCGCGAGATCAACCAGTGTTATCAAATGTAAAAAAAGACCTCCATGGGCGTCCTTTATTGATAATATCGAAAAAAATATAAAACCGACAGATTTAATTGTGTACAAACAAATATAAATCAAAATATCAGTTTTATCACTTTCTGTCTATTTTCAAATACTTTTTAATTACTTTGTCAAATAGTTTTCGACTTTTAGTACCTTAAATTTTCCAACCAGATGGATTTCAAACATCACGTTCTGATTCTGTCTAATCGAGTTTTCAAACACTATCATTGATAGTTTGACTAAAATCATGATTCACCTTGTGCATCATTTTGTTTTCTTTTCTTAGAAACCAAATTCTTTATCTTTGATTAAATTGAGTTTTTTTCTCTAAATCAAGAGAATTACAACATATCATATCTAATAGACAACGGTTGAGAAGCTGTTCAAGAAGACAATGATGTCTGTTTATCCATTCTTTTTGTTTTTTTGCTTTCATTGAATCAAATCATAGAGCCTTTTTATTTCTCGATAATCACCTTCACAGTTCCAATCATATAATTTCTTCATGTAACGCCTTCTCTATTGATGATCACATGAACGAGGTCAATGCATACAAACGTGACTATTATAATTGTGCTCACATTCAGAATCAAGGTCTATTTACTGAAAGAGGTTTTTGTTGTAATCAGAAATTATTTAAAGAAACAAATAAAAACATAAAAACAACTGAAAGAGACGTGATATTTTTCAACTATCTATCCCTTTTTGTTTTCGTCGAAGTTTTGTGAAACTTTACATTAATAACATGATTATAACCTCAAATAACAAACTGATTAGTTTAACAAGTTAAATCTAAATCAGACAGAAAATATTTAATCAGAAATAAAACATAAATTTGAAAGTATAAAATGAAAAAACAAAAAATCATTCAAGTACTCGAATAGTTCTTAATAAAAGTGTTTTATAATGTTGATATTAGCTATCTATGTATGAGTGATGTTTCTCTTATTATTTCTTTCCGAGATGAATGAATAAAAATTTTAAATTATAGTATAATGAAGGACTTTTTTTGTAATTTATCATTTGACAGATGAAATAATTCAAGTTGACGCACATTTAAAAAAATGCTCACAAAGCAAGACTTGAAAGTTTCTTTTTTGCAAACAGCTGTGAGTAATGGCATATTATTCATTACTATTTTTGTGAAACCAGGTCTGAAAGAAATGCTCAAGAATTAGACCAATAGAAATTTACCTCCTTCCCTTCTTCATCACACTCTTTGATAGATTTAGTCACAAAAATAAAGCCTCCTGTAGAGTTATTATGAAAGAAGATTGAATGTAAGATACTTGTCTTTAGTATTCTTTTCAAATTTATTATAACGTATTACGAATAATATTTTTCATCAGGAATGTATTAGCACGTCGGAGATTACAAAATGAAATATATATGGCAGAATGCTTTGACTTACAAAATATGCTAATTCATCGTGTTTCATATTTTAATAATGTAGGAATTACATTGACAGCTTTTATGACATAAGAAGAAAAAATCAAAGCTGCTGCGTTTCTTGAAAAAACAATCAAATAATTTAAACATTACTTTTCTTTCGCTATCGTCGAAAGAGACTTATTAAGTTTTAATTCAGCTAGAATTCTATCATATTTTATTGCTATAGTCAATATTCTTTAATTGATTTGTCAATAAAGAATCAACATTCATTTATCACCAAATCATTCAAAAAAAAAATACATACAGATGACTTTATAGTTAATCAAACGATAATGAGTTTTTATAGTCTATTATATATCTTACAGAGGAAATTAAAATTTTAATTTTCCATATAGAGAATTTTAAACTTTTCTTCAACAACAATAAGCACACTATTAATTCTATTCATAAGTATTTTGTATTAGAGTGAGTATAATTATATTATCTTATGAAAAATATTTAACTAAAAAGTCAAATGGAAACGATTTTGAATAGTATACATAATAAGCTATTAGAATATGTTCAAGTTATGTAGTATTTACACAAGTATTTTTCTTTTTTGATTGACATTTTGTGCAATATGCAATCGTTTTGGGTTTGCTGAAGTAATTTCTAAGACGTAATTTTTCTAAATCTTTAGCAATTTTAAGAATTCTAGTGCTCATTTTATCATCAAATGGAAAAATGAAAGTAAGAATGAAGACTAATTCTTTTGGCATTATCATTAGTTATGTTCTACGGTATTAAATGAAAAACCCAATAAATCTAAAAAAAAAAAAACTAATCCCAATAGTCCTTCCTCTTTCCGTCTTTGTGCATATATGAAGAACGAAATTATATCATTATTTACATTATATTTCTTTTTAGGAAGACATGAAAATAATGGTTTGCTGGTTGTTGTTTAGAAAAATGTTAAACTGCTCTAAATTTTAATTTCCTCGATAACATCAATTAAAGTTTTGTTTTAATAATTGAACTATCACATTTAGATGCATTATCACATGTTGTACTTCTTAAATTCTCTTCATTAATTACTACAGTGATTGTTTTTCGTTTATATAAAGGCCACAAGAGAAGAAATCTAAATAGATTTTATTGTTTTAATTTTAACAAAGAAGAAAATTCAAAAATTCTTATTTACCCATTAATTCCTAATGGAATCAATCCAATAACTGCTAAAATAAAAAAAATTATTCCAGGATATATTTCAATTGTTTGAGCATATATTGCATTAGTAATAATTCCAACAACATATGATCCAATTGTTTCAACAATCCCAGTTGCAATAAAAACAAGTGCAAATTCAGTATCATTAACTAATTTTGTTAAATGTGATCGTAATACCGCCATAACAACAAAAAATAAGCATCCGATAAAAACAGCTTTAAAAAAAGAATTATTTCAGAAAAATGAATAATATAACTTACCGAGATAAAGAAACCAAACAACCTGAGCTAGTCCAAAAAGAATTAAATGTATAATATACATGAATATTCCAATAAATGGTAATAATAATGAATTCGTAAATCTATTTTTCCACAAACTAAGAATAATTGATATGAATATCATTAAAGAAAATTGTGCACTAGTTAATATTGCTAAATCTAATATATTAAAACATAATGGTTTTCCATAGAGATAAAGTGGATGAATACTTGCAAAGCCAAATAAAACAATAAAAAGCATGATTTGTGTTAATGTTAATAATATAATTATTCGTTGATTATTTCCAGTACGTTTTATTAAAAATACTTGATATGTACCACGAATAGGTGCTAAACGTATTCGTTTGATCTGTTTTAAAAAATAAGAAAATGTTCGATCATTGTTACCACGTGATTCAGGTTGAAGAATTATTATATATATTAATGCAGCTATATTTAAACCTAAATTAATTGATATTGGTAATGTATAACCATGATGTTGCAACCAAAAACCAATACCTAATAGAGGAAATATACGCGTTAACGCAACTGCCGCTTCTTCTAATAACATAGCACGTGATCGTTGATGTTCTGTTGTACAATCAGTTATATAAGTAATAGCTCCCAATAGAAGTACACTATTTGAACCAAATAAACCATCAATTACATTTGATATAATAAGCCAAATATCACTGAGATTTAATTCTACAAGTAATAGTATAATAGTAAATCGAATGATTCTTCCGATACATGGAAAAATTAGCAGAGGTCGTCGTCCAATACGATCACAATTAGCACCAAGAATGATATATGTGAAAACAGCTGGTAATGCTCCAACACCAGCCATTATTATATTTAAATGGCTAACTGATTTTTGTACTTCAAAAGATAATTGAACAATTTGAGAATCATTTTGAAGATCTTCTGCACTACAAGCGGTTTCACTTGCTGGTGAACTCGTATTAATAAGACCATATTCTAATTGATAACGTCGAATCATGAGATCATTAAGAAGAATTGGATCGGTTGTTGTTATTGTCATAGAAATAATAATAATGGGGAGAACAATCCACCAACGAAATAATATTTGTCTTTGTTCATGAGGACAGTTGATTTGATTTGATTTGACTGACGAAATATCTACCAACTCCATTTTCTTTTTTAGTCTTGTAAGTAACATATATGTCTTTTTTATTTATGTAGTTCTTTTTTGTTTCATATTGGCAAATCATGATTTTGTGTAATTTGATTTTTTTTTTCTTCAAAGTACCCTTTCATAAGTAATAATCAAGTGTAATTAGGTTCTTTTCTTTTTTGTTAAGAATTATCCCGATACATTTATTCGTTTTCTATTCAATAGAGGTAAATAAGTCATATCAAGGTCGTTTGGTATTTCTTTTTATGCGATTCATCGAATGAATACTTAATTCGATTGGTCGAATGTTTTTTTTTTTTTATATCAGAAGCAAAAATAATCAATATACATTCTGACATCCATAATATGTTCCCCTCGAGTATTAGTACTAAATACTAATCGTCAAATGCAATCAATACTCATTCGGTTGATTTTGTTTTTCTCATATTTTCTTTCCTAATATAAATTATTAGTCTTGATAAATACCCATCGGCTATGATTTTTTTTCACTGATAATACTCTTTTTTTTTCCCATCGTTGCAGCTGATCATGTTAGATAGTAGTAGCAAGAAGAGGAAAGACAACACAAACTCTTTTTGACATTTGTCTATACGTATAATCAATGTTAATGCGTGATCAATTATCGCTTTTCTGTTTTCCAGTATCTTAGTTTTCTTGTTACTTACACACGTATAAGTAATGGTCGCACCATTAACTACTGTAAACAATTAATAGGGTGCCAAGAACTATATAACAACTTGACTAAGTGAAGCCATATTTGTATCTAACTAATAATAAAATCATTTTTTTAATAAAACATGTAACATTCTATAGAACAATGATATTTATCAAACAGAGAAATATAACTATTAATTGATATGGATTATCGTGAACATGCAATATCAACAATAGAAACTAATCAATCATTGAAACAACAACAGCATTTATCTGTATTCAAGTGCATTGTTGATTGTTTCGCATCGTATGAAAGTAAGTTATTAAATGATAAAGAAATGAAAATGAATGAAAATTTGAAAAGTACTACGATTTCTAGAAGTTGTTAAGCTGAAATATATGAATAACTTGTAGTTATGTGATAGAAACTGATGCATTCAATATGAAAGAAATCTTTATTAAAATAAATGACTTCGACATTTTGACGATTAACAAAAGGTCATAGATATTCTTTTGTATCATTGTATCTTTTATAGGATCTAATAATACGATCTTATATGTCACAAACCTTGTAAACGATTTTTATTGTTTCATTCCTGAATTAGATCTGATTATTAAAACAAATATTTGAACAATTACCGAAGTCAATCGATGAGGAATAAAAATTATTATTGAGTTTGACTTTGTGTAACAAATGACAATAGTAACCTTATAGAGTATAACGCAAAAACTAAGGTTGCTGATGAATTCTTATTTTATCAATTTCTAGATCAATTGTTTTAAGATTTTTTTTTTAAATTTTCAAGCAAGTGTGACTATAAAAGCATTGCTTAATTGCCATGTATACAAGAGATAGGATAAATTCGGTTTTTTTTTGGAACGAAATCGATACTATCTTTGATGTATACAGGATGTTTTAAATGTTCGTCAGAGAAAAGAACGTGAATAACTTTCGAACAATTTAAGCAATATCTGTGAGTTTCCTGTAATTTTATTCCAATTCATTTTTAAATTTCGTTTCGCAAAATTTCATTTGCGTTTGCTGTTCAAAATGAGCATACTCAACTGAAATTCGTAATTTTACAATTTTTAAAGGTTTGAAAAAAGACATTGCATAGAGTTTTCTTTGAAATCATTGTATATTGGTTATTGATTCATATTGCTATTTTAACATGATCTTTAACAGACATCGTTTGTTATGCGTGTTCATTGAAAGAATTTGAATGAAGCTAAGTCACATGAACCTGAAGCTAATCGAAGAGAACCACTTGTTTGAATCCTACATGGTAGAAGACATGTTGCTCAGAAACCGATGTAAATTATCATAGAAATCTGAAGAAGTCTGTTTTTTTTTTGGTCGAATTATTTACCGAATTGTTTTGAAAGTTCAATATAGTATTGAACAAAATTTACAAACAGTCGAAAAACTTGATGCCGATACACTTTTACTTCCTTCATAAACTTCAGCAACTGTTTCTTAAGTTATTTGCTCTAACACGTTCAGAACGTTTTCAGTCTCCTATAATCTCAGTTTGATAAAAGCATTTAGAGAACTCTTTATTAGCGTCTTTATTTGACGTTTCTTTATCAAATTCGATCAGCAACTTTCATTTCACAATTATAGATAATTCAAATTTAGCTTCTAATAGAACGGTTTGAATTCTACTGTTCATAAGTAATTGGGTATTTTATTTGAAGTATGTTGAATGAAATTTTGATGAGTATGGAGTCAAGTGTTTGAAAGAAATATGTAAATCAATTGAACTACTAGAGAACTATTCAAAGTGTATTTTGCTCATTTGATTTGTCCTAGAAGTTAGGAGCTGATCGACCCCTGGATCGAACACTGTTGAAGTTCTTTGTATTGCTTATGATGTAATTAATAATATTCCCAAGCAATTGGCTTTGAAAGAATAAAACTAACAGAATTGGTTTTTAGAACAATACTTTACATTGAATGAAAACTTATGATTGATGGAAAATGTTTGAACATTGTTCCAGTTTGATGAAGTATTAATAATACAAGAAAGAAAAAAAACTTTTGTGCTATTATTTATTCTAAATTAAAGTATATATTTTATTAATTTTTATAGTTATATACTACTCCATATATGTTTAATCGAATTAATTTTAATAAAAGAGATTTGAAAAATCTCACAAGAAATTCTTTTTTATTGTCTTATCTTATTGAAACAGATGGAAATCATCAAATAAGATCATAGAAAATGCTAAATATTGTCTAATGACCTTTTGAGAAAATCATTTCATTGTATACGTGTATATCTGTTTGTATTCATCTGTCTCTCTGTTAAGCATTACTAGATATAACATCTAGAAAAAAGAAAACCATGTTAAAACTTAGAAGTAATCAAGTGATTTGTTTTTGTTGTTTTTAATTCATCAAAATTAATTTTATTCTTTCTTATTTAGCTGTAAAAGTGGTTCGTTTTGAAGCTAAATTCATAAGTATATTATCATTAATTGTCAAATTATCTCTTGCTATTGGTTGTTTATATTTAATGTTTCAAAAACATGCTTATCAAATATTTGATCGTTCACCAATATCAGCTGTAACAATTAAAGTAAAACAATCATCAACTTGTTCAAATAATATTTCAACAATACGTAATATTTTTAATTATAATTGTTCGAAAACTTTATATGATGTCAATGATTATATAATACCAGCAACAGAAAATTCAGCTGTATCAATAACAACACGAATGGTTGAAATAGAACATATATTAAAATATTGTGATGATACAAATATAACAAATTCTCAAGAATATTCATCTTTATTTAATACATCAATACATACATGTTCTCATGAATCACGTTGTATTTTACCACCATTTTATCGTCATGATAATGAATATGAAAATATATTGAATAACGAAACATTATGTTGGTTTAAAGTACTTCCAACATATGAACGACTAAATTATCAAGCACTTGATTATATTATATTTATAAAACATTTTGTTGAATTTACACAGTTAGGACTTGTTAGACATAATCTTTTATCAGATATTATAACTACAGATTATTTAAATACATGTGAATATGATCCAGATAAACATCCATCATGTCCAAAATTTCGAATTTTAAAAATTTTACAAATTATTGAAACAAATCCACATGAATATGAATTAATGTTTTTTTATGGATCATTAATTGAAATTAGAATTACTTGGAAATGTAATCTTGATCGACATCTAAAGTATTGTGAACCTGTTTATGAATTTCAACGTTTAGATATTAAACCATATGAAGCAAATCCTTATGATCCCGGTTCAAATTTTCTTACATCGAGACACTTTTTTTTGCCTAATAGTCATGAATTACATCGTATACATACACATATATATAAGTTACAGATTATAGTGTCTGTTACTGGTGAAGCTGGAAAATTTGACCTATTTCAAACTACAACAAGTATTGGATCGTTTCTTGGTATATTTGGTACAGGATCAATTGTTTGCGATCTTATTGCAACATTTCTCAATAATTTTAAAAGAGTAAAATATGGTAATTAGCTATTACTCAATTCTAATGTATATTCATAGAACGTTTGGTATTTCCTAAGAAAATATGGTTTACTTTTGTAATAATTAATGAACATCTGTGAATAAATCAAAATACAAATACATTCGATGATTATGTTATAGACTTATTTTGTCTTTTATGTAAATAAAAGTGTAAGTTTAATATAGCCATCGAAGCCTTTTTCTTACATCACATGATAATCAGTCTCATCTTTATTTATGGATATGTTTGTGAAGGTCAACAGATTTAATAAATAAGACACATGAGTCAAAGTAGATCATGTTCGTCGTTAAAATAGCATCATTATTGTTCCGTAATCTATACATGAAAACGTCATTATTCTTGATGTTTGTTTTTCTGTTTATACGCTTAATATTAAGTCCACATTACTATGAATAACAATCGAAAGGAAATATTTATCATATATTCAAAGAAACTTCTCGATATGATTCATAGTCGATTCTAGGGTTCATGTTTATATATACAAAAATCAGACGTGTATAACTTATTTTTATCTATTACATCATAGATAACAATGCTTAGATTCTATTTTTCTTTTCAATGAAACTATATTAACATATCATACACGTCTTCGTTCAGAAATAAATAAACATGGGTTGTAGACATTCATCATCACGAGCAAAATCATCAAAGATAATTACTAAAAATAGAGGACAAATTACATTAAAAAATAAAATATTTATTCAACAACATTCACAAAAACATAATTATGAAAAATCGAATGATATAAAATCATCTATATCCAATAGAATATTTTCATCATTAAATCTCGAACAAATACTTGATAATCATGGTAAAAATTTAATAAAAAGATTTGAATTTAATTCAGCTTGTCTTTTATTTGATGTTTCATTAACACATATAATTTTACTTAATAATAAACAACTTTATTTAATTAATATAAATACAATGAATATCGATACGTATATTTTACTAATTGATACTATAAATGTTCAAGAAATAGTATGGTCATCACAATTAAGTAAATTTCTTATTCTTACAACTGATCAATTATATCAAACGGATATTGATCAATTACAATTAGCACCTATTTATCAAATTCAGGTTAGATAATCAAAGAAATTTTTGAGAAAAAATATATATATATACATATTTATTGAATTTTCTTTCTAGTTTATTAATGAAGGCCATCGTAAATCATATATGACAGTAGATGGAGATGATTTACTTATAAATCGTTCATTTGGATATGATCTACGTCATTATTCTCTTTCAAATTTTAATCTTTTACAATCACTTCGTGTTTATAAAGATAATAAAGATATATGCATAACTACAATAAGATTAAATTCAAATAAAATCTTAGCTCTTGCAATTTCAATTGGTGAAAAACAAATGATTGATTTAATACATTTAAATACGAATCAACTTATTCATCGAATTAAATTAGATTTAAATGAAAATATTTCATATCCAATTGATTTACATTGTCATGGATTATGGTTTGCTAAAACATGCATACCTTATGTAAATATTGGCCATTGTTTAATAACATCTGATGGACAAATAGTTAGATTAAAACTTTTTTCTAATCAAGATAATTTTATACGTTCACTTCGAATAACTGATGATAATAAATGGTTATTGATTGGTAGACAACATGCATTAGAACTTTATTCATTACCAAATAATATGCTTTTGTCTTAGTTCATTTATAGACTTTGTGTGTTTTGATTTATTTTGATCACGTTTGTTTTCGTTGAACAAGTGAAAACGAAAACATGAAAAGAAAAAAAAAAAAGTTTTGCTATTACTTCAGGGAAAAGATTTGATATATTTTATGCTTTCAGACAGCTGTATCTGACATGGTCATTCACACTCCAATTTCAATAGAAGTAAAGTGATTTATTGAGTAATGTTCAGATTTTGAAAAATGAAATTTCCGTAAGTATTAAGAGAAAAGAGATGAATTTTTGAAGGAGTATTACTAGTGTTCAGAAAATGCACCTTTCCAAAATTACTAACACATGACAAGGTAGTTCATGAGAAACTTTAGAAATAAATGCTTCATAAAACAAATTAAAGAAATTACATACGACATTCTAGACATTCGCAGAAAATTACGGCAATTTCTAAAAATTATTTTTGGTATCGATATGCACACATCAAGTGATAAATCGATAGAAATACAGAAGCTCATCCCAAAAAACTATAAGAATTTTTGGTAATCTCCTAGACTATTCTTTTGTATAATTGGTAATTAGGAAACTTCTCTCCAAACTACCTTCTGACGTGTTGACAAATTTAGAAATTTTCTTTTTCGTAGATCTGAACATATCTCTTTGAGAATAACCTTTTAGAAGCTATGTTCGGATACTGTGTACACCTGCAGCTTGACAGAAAAGAAGAATACGTCAAAAAAAAATGTTGTTATTATTATTTTTCTTTCTTTTGTTATGAGATTCCTTTTTGTGTAAACACGTCTTACTACAGCAATTTACGCACTTCAATATGCATCGAATTCGAAATATTGAAGAAAAAATTGGTTCATATGTTGAAGATATGGCAGTCACAGCACTACAAATAGTTAAAGTTGTTTCAGTAGCTGTTAGCAATCAAGCTAAAAATTTCAATGAGAAAGTACTTGAATCTGAAGAACAAGGATTAGCCGATGAACATGGTTATACACATGGTGGTAAACGAGAAAAAATTGTTAAACATTTAATGGGAGTAGATAAGTATGAAGTTGGTGGACACTTTATCGATAGACATATGCTGAATCCAATGCGTACAAATCATGATAAGGATAATCCATTGAGATTCCACAGCAACTTAGACGATAAATATTCATAACGAAGTAACAATACGAATGTGAAGTTGTATTTCTTCTATGATTACGAAAGTGATTTGTGTATAAATTTATTCTGTTAGTTATTTATCCAAGCATAATATAATAAGCCAATTCTTTTTTTTTCTAAATGTACATAATACACTTTCGTATTTGTTCGATGCTCTTTCAAATAGCCCGCAGTCGATTGATTGATAAGATTTATTAATGTTAAACTTCCAAGAGAGACACTAAAAGGAAAATAGATTGAATTTTGCATTTAAAAAAAAAAGAAATGAAGCATAGAGTTGATTTCTAAACCATTGAAGCAGTCCATGTACGAATTACTATAACAAAGCATTGCATACATGCGAACATTGGAGAAACTGAACTCAACTCGTATTTACATGTAGGAAATATTTTGCCTGCTAATATCTGAGAACTCTCGCATATACAAACAAGACAACTTGTAGAATAATCAAAAATTAAAGCACATGTAGCAAAAAATGTAAGATACTGTTTCAAATATAAGATTCGAACTAATATACATAGGGGAGTCGAAAAGTTCTGCAACTTTCAAGTTATTTATTCATACAGAAAACATTGTACTAATCTTTTTTGCAGTAAATGTTCGAAGTAGTCCCTGTAATGTTGTGCACAACATTTCATCCTTTCAATTCACTTCTAGAATGTCTTTTGGTACTTTTGAATAAGTATTGAATTGATCTCTTTCGTTAATTTTTTAGCTAAACTTGTATTATGTCGATATGTATAAAGTCTATGTTTCAGATAACCTCACAATCAAATATCTGAAAGAGCAAAGAGAGGTGTGTATGGTGAATGAACCAAAGCATCGATTTTTCCTCTTGAGGAGAATTAAAATTAAGACAAATATTTCGCATATGTGATGTTGCATTTTTATAATGCGAATTAATGCTGTGTTTTATTGATGACGCTTTGTCTTATGTAAATGTTTGGCCAATATCTTCTAGTGGTCATCACACTAGTTCATAGGCGGCGGAACGTAGAGGCTAGGTGAGGCTTCAGCCTCACATGAATTTGATGCGTGTAGGCTTAGCCTCATCTAAATTATGAACTCGATATTTATTCGCTTGAGGGTTCAGACGTATTCTACCAGACGAATATTATATCAGTACGAAGATTCAAACTACTAATATGTTCATTTATATATTGTGATTATGGGTGATGGAACGTGTAACCTTGAAAGACTTAAGCCTCACTTGATTTTGAAACGTTCCGCCGCCCCCTGCGCTAGCTAATGTAATAACTATGTCGAAGATGATAGTAATCTAATCAATACTACTTAGGGCATACAAAAAACAAAAGTCCTGGCCACGGCGTTTAAAGGATCGTTCGGAAAAGGGGACATATTGAGAAATGGAAAACCAAATATATCATGTTGTAGAGCTTTTTGAAGCGTGTCGAATGGTATATAGTAAATCTTGTTTCATATGACTTTGAAGAACCTAGAATCAATTTAGTAATAGACAGCTACACACCCACACCCACATATAACCCACACTGAGAAGATGATCGGAGATGATACATATAGGAAGTTTATAGCCCGTCAAAAAATCTACAAAATCGTATGCGAGAAAAAATATTTTACAAATACTCTTGACTAATACCAAGGACCACAATATTCAGAAATTTATCATGCTTGGATGCAGATATGCAGTCATCTATCAGTAAATTGACTCTAGTTTTTTTAAAGTCCTATGAAAACAGGATTTTCTATATACAATTTGGCGCACCTCAAAAAGCTCTACAACATGGTATATCTGGTTTTTCATTTCACAATAGATTCCCTTACCCGAACGATCATTTAAATGTCATGACCAGAACTTTTCGTATGCCCTTAGTAATATATGGATAATCATTCACTAAATCTTTAATAGCATAGACGTTTTGTTGAGTAATGACAATTACTGAACCGTCATTTCGAGGATCATCTTCCAAGAATTCCGAACCCATTGAGAACCGATGAACGTAATGATTAAGTGTATCAGATGAAACAACACTTTGTCTACAAGTAGCAGTTAACTCAGCATGAATTTATGTAGCTGCTAGACAAAATAACAAGCGAGTTTTTATATATGAGCGTATGTACTGTTTTCCCATCTGAAAACAGAGATGACTAAAAAATCTACTAAGAGATTCCCACAGCAGACACTTGTGAAGATTCGTTTTGGCGGTTTAATACATTACAGATGCCGCTATTAGAATATGACAATATGAAAGACAAAAACAGTGAGGACGACATTTCAGAGAGCTGTTTTCAAAACTTTTTCACTACCCTATATACCTCAGCTTACGAGATTAGTTTCTTCGCCACGTATTCGTCCACTTCAAACAAAATACAGTTCAATGTCATTCGTACTGGATATATTTCTGAAATGATTCTTCAGGTAGATAATTTCTCGCGTTTTTTAAGGTTTACATGACACACTCCAGTGCAGAATATTCGATAACCAATCTCAATTAAAGAATTCATTTCGCATAGTAGCTGTTCTATATGAATCAGTATCAGCCAGATATATAAATTGTCTAAATTGAAGTATAACATAAACGAAGGTTTAAGAGCCTTATGCGAAGTCAAAAATACCTGAAGTCAAGTCGAGTCAGCACTATACTATAGAAACAGCCAACGGTAGCATGACCTCAATTATTATTTCGATTAGAAACCGAAACAGTCGTAGATATTTAGAAAATTGATTGAGGGTGAAAGCAAAAAGTAACATTAAATACATCGTCTGTCTGAAGATAAGGGCTAAGGGGGTCAGACAGGGTGAGGATGGATGTGGGCAGGTGTTCGTGTAGATGTATGGATAGATTTCGGTGTCGAAATGAAATGAACACCTCGCACCCACGACCTACACCCACACCTCGCACCCACGACCTACACCCACACCTGACACCTCACATTCACCCACACTCACATCCAGACCCCACACTCACCCACATCCCACACCCATATTCACAGCCTACATCCACCCACGCTCCCGCGCACACGCACACCCATACCCCACACCAAGGATGGGTATGAGGATGAGAGCGGAAGGGATTGGACACGATGCATCATCAGGCACAGAGCAAAAGTGAAAGAGATCAAATTGGATATGGATGGATTTGAGAATAAGAGTGAATGAGATGAGAGAGGGGGCATTACCAGAGTGAAGGAAAAGATCGGAAGAAGTCAGGTGGGATTTGGGTGGATGTGACAGTGAGGGTGAGGATGAAGGATTAGACAGGGTACATAGGTGGGCTGAGAACAAGAATGAAAGAGGTGAGATAGTGGGTGCTTGAATGAGAGGGTAAAATTGGAAGGAGTAAGACAAGGCGCATTGCTAGTGAGAGCAGGGGCAAAAGGGGTCGCAGAGGATGTGGGTGCGAGTGAGACTGAGAATAGAGGAGGGGGATTAGAGAGGGCATATCATCAGGCTGCCATAGCGTTCTTACTTGTATTATAAATAATAACTCAGCTAAATTTTTACTTCGACGACGCATATGAGCTGTTGATGTGTTTTAAATCTTTTTATTTTAACTTTACGATTAAGATAAAAATTCAAAAAGAAATTTCTTTATTGGATATGCAAAACTTCAGATAAATTAAACGTCTCTTATTTGATTAAAGAAATATGCAGTTCACTCAAGACAAAAATGCATACTACAATCTATTATACATTCATAGGAAATGAACACCACTTAATATATTACTAAATGAATATTTTTATGTACGAAATAAATTCTTGCCGACACATATGAGTACTAACTGTGGTCACGTTGGACTCTAAATTAGTCTCATGTCTTTACTGTCAAATGGTCTATTTTTGTCGAGGACTCCGTGCAACGAGTTACTGTTGATAATGATGATGGTGAACGGAGTTTTTCACTTTCAGCTTGAATTGCTTTTTCTCGGATAGACATAGGTAATCCTAGATTAAGATTCAACGCATAAGGAATACACATTTTTGGCATTGATTCAAAATCAACAATGCAACGAATGAACATACAGTCATCACGTACATAAGGATTATTTGCTGGCTGAATAATTGATAATGGTAAAAACTTTGGTATTCCTGAAGCAATATTCATAGCAGATCTGGGTCGTTGAAAACTATTCGATTTAATATCGGGACGAAATGAGTCAATTATATGACGTTGGCTTCCTGTTTGATCATACAGGCAGAAAATTACTTTATAGCTAAATGGCCATGTTAATATAGAATCATAGTCTCCTCGCATTAAAACAAAGAATAATGAAAGATGTGTACCTCTTGCTTGGCCATCACCATTCATATACAATCTCATACACATTTTGTAACCTGTCGATGAGGAATACAATGGCGGCGAATAGATACTTGTTTGTCGATCAGCAATGGCATCAGCCAATTTTTCAGATACATTCGAGATTTTCCAAACATATGATCCGTCATTTGATGATGTACTGGAACAATCGGAAATCGTCTGTTTTAATGTTTCGACTTGAGTTTGTAAAATCTTGTTGTTCATATCAGCAACATATAGCATTTGTGAAGTTTCTTCTATTGAATTTTTAACTTTTTCTATTTGTTTTTGTTGTTCCACAATTTTACTAAGTACTTGTACAAAATTATTATGAATCTGTACATTATCATCATGCAAACATGAGATTCCCTCAGCCAGAATATTAATTGATGGCAATATCTCAGAATAATAATCTTTCTCTAAGTCACATTGAAAATTATCATAAAATGGTTTACTATGCAATTCTTGTACAAAGATTTCAATTGCTTTAAAAAGTTTTTCTAGATGAATCGAACTTGAATAATGTTCAGGTAACTCATCGTAAAGTAGCTCCGAAGTACAACCATATTTACTTAAAGGGCATGCTATTTGTTTAGATTTTGTAGTGCATTCCCGTTTGGTGGAAACATCTTCGAAAGTAGTCTAAAAAAATAGAGAACCCAATAAAGGTTGATAATATTTCCAACTTTAATGAATGATTGCATGTCATATATTATGTTGAGCAATGTGGAACGAAAATCTCCTGTTATTAAAATGTCTCAACTAAAGAAGCGCAGAAACAAACGTTTTTAATCTCGATCCTACCCAGTTGTGGTAACTTCTTCTATGAAGCACGATCTGAAAGGAATATTGAAGTGTATAGGATATAAATTCGCAGGTCTTCTCCCGGCCGCGCAGACTTTATTGTATTTCTGGAGGATTAAGTAAAAGGAGAGTAAAGAAATGTATCCCGAGATAGTCAGAAGAAAACAATCTCCCTCGAATTAGCAATAGCAGCTACTTCGTGCTCCACATTTTAATCCCGCAATGATAGCGCCAACATCTTTTCTAGTCGTCCCATCTATGCCCTGGCTAAATTTTGTCTAGTATGAATCCCGATATCAGACTCTATGATTTTCTGATTCTTCGGATCCTGATTCTAGTCTAGAGGAAGCTATTACAGAATTTTTTCATGTTACATGTAAGAGAATGGTTTAATACTCTTTTTTGATTTATTTTTTGTCTCAAACTAATACTTTATTAGATTACCTTTCTTGAATTACTTAGAGCAGTCCAAAAGTAGTGGTAGTGACATTGTAGTACTGTATAGTAAGCTCTAGGAAACTTCCATTCTACATACAGGAAGAGTAAAGCAACTATCTATCTTCCTGTAATATTTGCTGATTCATCTACAAACGTCATAGTGAACAACTTTTGATAACAGCTGTTTGTTATGATATGAGTGATAACAGCAGATCATGTTTATCTTCAATGTGTATTCTCTTTTTGATTTTCTTTTCTTTCTACTTTTTTCCCCCATCTATTCTAATGTGTAGAGGGTGCATCTAGGGTAGGGTATGATTGTGGGCGTGAATTTTGACGTGGATAAAGTCTATGTGTAGGTATAGATATGAGAGTGGCTATGGGTAGGTGTTCGTGTGGATGTCTGGGTAGATGTCAATATCGGGATGCAAAGAACATCCAAAGTCAAAACCGATACCCACACCCATACCCTACCCACACCCACACCCTATACACATCCACACCCATACCCTACACACACCCACACCCATACCCTACATACACCCACACCCACACCCGTACCCTACACACACCCACACCCACACCCACACCCACATCCACACCCACACCCACACCCACATCCACACCCACACCCACACCCACACTCCCCCCCACACCCACACCCACACCCACACCCACACCCACACCCACACCCA